TCGGAACTGTTTCTGGAGGAAACCAAATAGATTAAATACTTATGAAAATTATGGAGAATAACACTTATTCATATGATCATTACTTTATGGGGGTATTGGTTAATAAGTTCTAGAGTGGTTCACAAAAAACTATTTTATAGAAATTTAATAGCCATGAAGAATTTTATGTAGATGGGATTCAGCAAAACTAAAAGGTATTTTATTAGTGATTGTTTTATATTGATTAAAGTTTCATTAATGATCATTATGAATATCCATCAATTAGTAGTTGTTATAGCAACATTAAACAATAATATTACTAGCAATAAATAGCAAATGACGACAACGAATCATCTTTTTTGAGGATGATAATAAAGATTAAGGTCCAGTTTGTATAGGAGTGATTGAATTAAGCATTAAGGACAAGATCTGTGAATAAAACATACTAACGAATGTTTTATCAATTATTTAATAGTTTGTATAGGAGTGAACACAAAACTCATATTCCTCCCTAATGATCCTTCTATTTTATACACACATTATTAATATATTAATAGTTAATATGTCATTATTACGCAGTGCACATGATCGTAGATCAAATAGAAATTTAGATAGTTCAACAATCTTATCCCCCATAAATAGATTTTTGATTTTTTTTTATATCTTTATTCTGTATTTTATTTTTATATGTATTTTCATTTATCCAATATTTTTACTACGTCAATAAAGCAAGCCCTGGTAGCTCGATTTCACATATACACACATATAATCGTGTTTACTTTTTCATATGCATTTTGTATTGATGTTAACTAATAATCTGTATATGATCGAGAATTTTGGCAAAAGTGATCGGTGTTACGAATTGTGACGCGCACATAAATGTCGGTTTATTTCAAAATTTTTATTGTAGCAAATACTTTAGTGAAAAAACTTATTGTATCAATTGTTGAAGGTAAAGGCTTAAATAACTTATAATTTATAATGCATAAATCATTTTTTAGCGACCTGAAGGTCACCGAAATTTCTCCTTCGTCTCTGGCATTTTTATTGCATATTAGGTATGTATTTATTTGTACTACAATTATCAGAGATTGTATTTAATCATCAAACATTTTTTTTTTACCCCAAAGAAACATACATAATGTCACAAACTGGAAGAGAAGTATCTTACTTAGGGTGTATAATAAATTCTGGAAAACTAGAA